AAAAAAAAAAAAAAAAAAAAAAAGATATCAATCACGAACATAAATATCATAACATCAAAATGTGTGAAACAAAACAATTAGAATTTCTAAGAGAAGCAGAGAAGAATGGCAATCCAAGTAAGCAAAGAACAGTAACAACAACAAAAACAGAAGTCCTGAAAAATCTTACTACTAGAGCTGATTTAAGACTAGATCTTACCTTACAAGCAAACACTCTACCTATTATCACAAAACTTTGCCAAATAGTAAGCCCCAAGAAAATGTTGACAAATTCCCCACAAAGAATACTAAAATGTAAAAAAAAAAACAACTAGAAATCAACAACAAAGTGTAAATGCTAAAAATATTTTAAACCTACCACTTGATAACACACATAATTAATCCTTCAATCAATGAGGAAATCAAACTAGCAAGTAGGGATTTCCCTGGTGGCACAGTGGTTAAGAATCTGCCTGCCAATGCAGGGGACACTGGTTCAAGCCCTGGTCCAGGAAGATCCCACATGCTGCAGAGCAACTAAGCCCCTGTATGCCACAACTACTGAGCCCATGTGCCACAACTACTGAAGCCCATGCGCCTAGAGCCCATGCTCCACAACAAGAGAAGCCACCTCGATGAGAAGCCTGCGCACTGCAACGAAGAGTAGCCCCTGCTCGCCACAACTAGAGAAAGTCCACACGCAGCAACAAAGACCCAATGCAGCCAAAAAATAAATAAATATATAAATAAAAAATAGCAAGTATATAATGCTTTGAAAGTAAAAATAAAGAGAACATATATTCACACCCTCATAAATAATTCTTCGATCAAGGGAAAATCAGAATAGCAATTATACCATGTCTTGAAAGTAAAGATAAAGAGAATATGTATAAATGCCTAAAGAATTCTGCCAAAGCTCAAATCCGGAAGGGAGAAAGAAGCACTGAAGGCTTTTATTATCAAACAGAAAGTAATGGAAATAAGTTGAACTATGCATTCAACTCAAGAATTTAGTAATAGAACAATATAATGAAGTTAAGAGAATCAGGGAGAAGGAAATAATAAAAAAAAAAATAAGGGGAGAAATTAATAAGACAGAGAAAGAAAAACAATTAAAAAACCCAAGAGATTACTCTTTGGGGAAAACAACAGCAATAAAACAGACAACCTAAGCGAAGCAGATCAAGTGTTAAAAAGAGAGAAACACAAAACTACAAATCGAAATAACCTGGGGTTATATAATCTGTAACCCCAGAGGAGTTGTAAACAAATATTCCATGTGACATTCTGCCAATATATCTGCCAATATATTTAAAATCACAGCTAAATGGACGTTTCTTAGGAAAGTACAAATTATAAAAACTGACTCAAGAAAATGTAAGAAACATAAACAGACCCCCAAAAGCATAGAAGAAACTGACAAAGTTATCAAAGAATCATCTCCCAAAGGGGTGAAACTTAAATAATATTAAGAGCAATGTGTCCAACTTTAAGGGAAGGGGATAATTCTAAAGTGATATAAACTTTTCCAAGGTATAAAAAATATGGAAAACTTCCCAATTCATTTAACGAGAACTAGCATAACGCTAATAATGAAATCAGATGGCTAAATGTGCAGGATATAGAGGCGGGAATGACAGATCTTCACAAGAGTGCATAAGGAAACAGCAAAGACAAAATTTGAGTAGATATGGAGTAAATGTAGAAACGTACCTTGTTCCCAGTTGGAATAATTCAATATAAATCCCAATTCTCACTAGATTAATTTGCAAATTTAATCCAATTCCATTTAACATTTCAGACAGAGGAAGGAGGTCTGGCGACATTAAAAAACTCAGCCATGGTCACCCAACTCTTAAGCAGCAGAGTTAAGATGCAAATCCGGGTATGTCTGACCCAAAAGGCCATGCTTCTCTCAGTGGAAATTAACTTGAAGAGGTTGAAGAGGATATTAGTAAAAACAGCTGACACTGAACAGCAAGCTGTCATTCTGACTGAACAGAGACAGATGAGTTTGGAGTCCTGGGATGCTCTTTTAAAGAAGACATATTCCTAATAAATCCACAGTAGCTTATTTTTAACTTTGAACAACTTTCTCTAGTTACTATATTAATTTGACAATATCTTTCCCT